TAATGTATGGTTAAAAAACTTCAAAAACTTCAAATTGGTTGAAAAAAATGCATGTTTATGTAAGGCTTCCCTTAATTCGAAAATCTCTATTTTCAGGCACAGGCTCACATAAATTTGACTTTTGAATAACTGTAATAAATCTGATAAATCAAATGAGTGTTCCGTTGCTATTAATACTTATTACATTACATTCTGGAGTATTTAAAAAGCAAATTTTTGCAATATTTAAATTTTTTAGGCCAAAATCTTGACAGTTGAAAATATTTGATTTAAACGTCAAAAATAAACATCCAAATTTCAATACTAAAATGGCCCTAGTTTCTATAATATATATCCTATGGCCATGAAACTTGGCCAACTATCTTATAATTTCCTAAGCTTAGGTCATGCAAAGTTTTATTAAAATTGGTCAAGTCTTTCTATCCTATTAGGTCCAAGGACACAGTTATCGTCCTTTGGTTTTCGTTGTCTACGAATATAGTCCCTAGTGTGAACAGTGTATAACTTGCCTTTTTTTTATACACTTTCCCAATTTATTTCTTGATATTTTATGCATGAAATATTAAGTAAGGGGATGAAATTACATGTTAAAAAAATTTGGGTGCTGAATCTTTATGTTAAGTAGTGATTTGGTCCAGTTAAAAAAGGTCAAAAATTAGAATGTCTGAAGCTGTCAAACTGAATTGTAGCCCCCCTTAACACAGAATTGTCAATATTTTGAGTTAGAGCTGGTAGAAGTTTCTATAATTTTGATATTATTTGTATCAATAGTAGTACACTACACTGTAAAAATCTTTTTGAGATAGAGCAGGTGCGATTTTTTTAATTTGAATTTATTGTCTAAAAGAAATGCACTACGAATTAACTGTGTTCTCGGGCCATTTATCTAGTGATATTAATATATCAATTATATAAGAAATTCTAAGGATTCATTGCAAGAAAAAAATATTTTAAAGATAATTATTGATTAGTTTTATACAAGACTTGATGATTTTAAGATAATTATAGAGAGATGTCTTTTATTGATTTTATATGCATTCTTTTCTATTTATTTTTAACTAAATTATTTTATAAAGTTTAAAGGTCAGAGTTTGGCATTCCCAAGATAATAGCAAAATGTAAATAAGTCTGCAACACATTTTATTAAAGGCTTATTAATGAGGACAAGTAGACAAAATAAAGTGTAGTATAAATAGCCTTCTTTTACTTTAAGGGTTCCTATACTTTATGGTTAGGGTTAATATTTATGGTTATGGGTAGATGTGGGTTAGGGTAAAGGATAGTTAAGTATAGCTCTATATGGGTAACAGTAACAGAAATCCATATAGATACATCTTACAAAAACTAATTTTCAGTGTGAACAACCTGTATTTCTGTAATGAATCCTCACAAGTGCTACAGACCAAAAGTTGGGAAACAAATTATAAATGCATAAAGGGATAATTCTTTTGCAATATTTAAATATCTTTTCAATAGAAACATTTCCCCACATTATAACTCAAATATATATACATGTTTAAAAATTGTTTTTCAGTTGAGACACAGATATCATATATTTTCAATTAGTAGAGTAATACAATGAAATATACACCAATTAAGAGGAACATTGCAACATAAGACAATACAAAACAAACTTTGTCTAATCCTGATGCTAAGTCTTTGTAGGTAATAATATCTCTATGTGATGGCATTACTTGGTTCTCTCTATGTTTCCTACACACAGTCAGTAGCGTGTATTGTAGAAATCCTTTAATCTCAGTCGGATGTTTATGGAAAAAATAAGAGTTTATCAGGTTAAAAAACATAATAACAGCACTTGTTGTAAACACCATGACAATAAATACAATGAGAAATGATATAGGATTAGATGTAGCTGGTATTTTATCTGATGCCAGTGTCAAAAATATGACAAATGACAGCAATATGGTCACTCCATATGATAGTCTTTCACCGGATTCATGTGGAAGTAAAAAGACGAGTGGATTCAAGAAAGAAAGAAGAGCGATCGGTAAAAATACAAGGATGTTATAATACAGTGGTACTCGTTTGATTTTAAGTATGATTTCATATGACGAATTCCCGAAAAGCTTATTTATTCCAACTTTTGTACTTAATATTTTCCAGTCTGGATTCGGAGTTGCATAAAGATCAGTATAAGGAAGTTCTGCAGGTTGTGTAAATACTTGCCAAGCTGCATCCCATACTAAAAATGTCAATGAACATTCTTGTTCATCAAATGGAAATTTCTTTATGTTAGCTGGACATTTGGAATTTATGATATCCCCTGGCATCCAAGAAATATTTCCATCATGTTGAACCAAGACTTTGATTAAACTATTGGCCCCGAATGTTTGAATCTTATGTACATCGTTTATAAGTAATAAATATGGAAACCACACAGTTGATTTGAACACACTTATTTCTGTAATGTTGTTATAGTCGATAGGGTTCCATTTCAGTGAAGGGTCAGTCCAAGACATATTAATGTTTGCCGATAGTGATAATATTCCATCAACTTCATCAAAATGGTTTATTCCTAGGTTACTGAATAGTAAAGAAATCCGCATATTGTCGGAATTATTCAAAACTGGTTTTAGTTCAGGATTGTAGCTGTCAAATAAATCATTGTACAGTCTTTTATAGTCACTAATGTTTTGGCATAACGTTATATTGAAGAAAACTACTATTACATAAACATCTAGTACTTCCCTACTCATTTTGAGGACTCATTAAATAAGCCTCAGCTCTGATACATGACACTTTTATATATGATTTTATATTTTGTGTGAATTTACTTTAACCTTTTTTTTATATTGGTTAGCAATATCCTTAATGTTGTTTTTTTTAACAAAATTAATCATATTTGAATGAACGAGACAGTACATTAAGCTACTGTTTACAGATGGTCCAATTCAATTGATTCATTTTAACCTGAACAATTTATTATTTTGTTTGGTTTGTAAAAAGGATTATTTTTTAGTAGAAGCTTGTATTGTAGTAGACAATTATCAGTTGAAGACTATTGACTTAGGTTGATGCATTTATTTAACGGGCTAAATGTTTAATGGAAGTTAAATTGGTATTTGCTATTTTGAGCTGTTACTTATGCTTTTCATGTATTGTTAGTTTCAGTACAAACTACTTATAAAACAACAGAGCAAAGCCGTTTATTGATTTGTTCTTTGTAAAAATGATCAGGGCATGCTTCTGTTTTTTAGTGCAATATGAACGGTTGCTTACAATCATAAATGAGTTAACTTTAAACAACACATGAAGCATATTTTCTTTTCTTAAAGGGGTATTAGCTGCCAAATTCAAGCCTACTGTATTTATTCACTCTCAAATTTGATTTAATATATATATATACTAAAACAAAATTAAAAACAATGAAGGTACCATAGAATAAAATACATAACTTCTGAATATCATTATGATGTATCTTCATTTTGTGTGTATTCCTGACTGGATGCCCTCTAAATAACTATAGACATGACCCATGAAAACTGTTGATGGGCATGTTACCCTTCTATATATAAGCAGACAGGTAAACATATATTACAAATAAACAGGTAAACATGTGCAACAGTAAAAAGTCAATTTTTTTTAGTTCTGTTTGATCTCATTTCATAGATTAAACATATAAATTAAATTGAATCATTAACTCATAACCTGTATAAGACTAATTGTGCATGGAATCCATCAACAAAATCGGTCTTCCCTAGTTTTACTTTTTAATCTGACATTCATTTCAATCACTGTACATAATGAACGCATGCACAACCCATCTTCATCAAAGGTTAAATCAAAGGTCCCATGAATATAAAATTATACCAATTCAAAAGAAGTTTAATTTTTTACTTGCAAGTCAATTATACATCAGCAATGTTTTTGAGCTTATTTTAACAAAATTGAAACAAACTTACTTCTAGTCAGGCATGGGGTAATGCAAATTTGTAATTGTAATGCATGGTAATGCATTACATTTTTCCAAGTAATTGCATGTAATGTGTAATGCAGCAATTTTTGCATTACATGTAATTGTAATATAATGCATTACTTTAGCAAAAAGTTGTGTAATTTCATGCATTACATGGCATTACATGTCATTACTTTTTTCACATACTACATCTTTAACATATTGTTGGAGTTTTAACTAAACCAAATTTAAGATTTCTTGATTAACTAAGAAAATGTTAATCATTAGAATATATTCTTTATTTCATCTTATTTCATACATTTTCCTGCATAAAAAGATTGATATTTGAAAAGCATAGCTGTATTGTTGTCATAAGATCAAAGAATATCTTTGTTTTGCTTAAATAAAAGATAATTAAACTTTGTTATAAAACACTAATTAGTTTGTTTAACAATCAATATTTTCACCATTTAGACAATTGTTCATTAATTAAGGTCTATGTTTATTTTATAATTAGGGAAGTAATTCACAGTAATTAAATATTTTGTTTAAAATTAAAAAAAAAACAACAAAAAATATATTTATAAAAGTAAAGTCAACATTAAGTTAAAATGATTAAAAATTGTAAAAGTCAAATTAAATAGACTTTTTACATGTATACTTATATTCAATTCATGGAACAGTTACTGCATATGCTAGAATCTTTTGTGACTTCTAGTTGTTTTTCAAGATGTGTAATTTTTCTATTCACTAATAAAATTTTCAAATGTAATGTGTAATTCAAGGCATTACTTTGCAAAAGTAATTGTAATATAATGCATTACTTTGATAAATGCATGTAATTGTAATTGTAATATAATGCATGGTTTGGTCAAAGTAATTGTAATATAATGCATTACATTGCAATGTAATTCGCCCCATGCCTGCTTCTAGTAGCAAAGTATTATCTCAATTGTCCACTTTTATAAATGTTTGAAATTTTTGTTCATATTTGACTTTTGTTGTCGGATTTGTAACTAATGTCCTTTTAAGAGCCTTTAGTGTTATCTATATTTTTACCTATATTTACTTTTGTGTATTGTAGGGACACATAGAAACCATATTTGAGTGTATATTTTGTCCTGATGATGTAGATTTGTTAGCCACGGCCAGTTTTGACGGTACAGTTAAAGTATGGAATGTAACTAATATGGAGGCTGTAAGTCACGTCACAAGATTTTTATGCTATTTAAAAAAAAAATATTTTGTAGATTAAGTAACAGCTTTGTGTATAATATAAGAATAAAGAGATGTGATTTGATTGTCAATGAGATAAATATCCACCTGAAACCAAAGAATGTGGATGTAAGCAACTTTAGGGAACCATATAGTCCAACAATGAGCATAACAAAGAACGTGGATGTAAGCAACTTTAGGGAACCATATAGTCTTCAACAATGAGCATAACAAAGAATGTGGATGTAAGCAACTATAGGGAACCATATAGTCTTCAACAATGAGCATAAAAAAGAATGTGGATGTAAGCAACTTTAGGGAACCATATAGTCTTCAACAATGAGCATAACAAAGAATGTGGATGTAAGCAACTTTAGGGAACCATATAGTCCAACAATGAGCATAACAAAGAATGTGGATGTAAGCAACTATAGGGAACCATATAGTCTTCAACAATGAGCATAACAAAGAATGTGGATGTAAGCAACTTTAGGGAACCATATAGTCTTCAACAATGAGCATAACAAAGAATGTGGATGTAAGCAACTATAGTGAACCATATAGTCTTCAACAATGAGCATAACAAAGAATGTGGATGTAAGCAACTATAGTGAACCGTATAGTCTTCAACAATGAACATAACCTTTACCGTACAGTCATCTATAAAAGGCCCCAATATGACAAAATGTAAAATAATTCAAACTTATTTACCGGTATGTACAAAACAATAAACAAAAAACAAATATGATAAGACAGCAACTACAACCACTGAATTACAGTCTACTGACTTGGTACAGGGTTTAAACATGTTTGAGAGCACTCAACCCTCCCCTTATCCGGGACAGTGGTGTAACAGCACACCATAAGAACACACTAAAAATCATTTGAAAAAGGCTTAACTCATCAGTTGCCACAAAGCACCAAAAAAAAACTAACAAAATGACTTAAGACACTAAGTACAGATCTTTGAGTAATAAGTCCATTAAAAAAAAAAAATGTTTTCTTCTGGATGATAATTTTAATTTTCGTTCTCTACTGTATGACATACAAGTTAACTTGCCATTTCACTGTTTATACCTTTTAGTTCTGGATAAGAATGAAAAGAGGTGTGTGTTATACATTCATAAAGCAGCAACTTAATGATACAAAAAATTAAAGAGGTCAATATACATATTCAACAATAAAAAATCTACCTTCAACTCTTTTAAGCTAAAACCTGTCTTGTCAGGTCACCCTCTTCTAGTACTACTGCATTAATAGCTATGCTTTATGAACCTCAATTCAAAGGGCACCTCTCTAATATAAGGTCACTCTTCTTTGTTCTCAAGGATGACCTTTGTAAAGAGGTTTGACTATAATTACATCCATGATAGTCTATTAAACTCTAATATAATTTGCCTGAATACTTATAGAACAGAATGTCCAGTAAAAGTTGAGACCTTTAGTTTCACTGGAGATTACCCAATGTGTTACACAGTTGATCTCCATAAAGGCCATGATTGACTAACAGTAGGTGTTTGTTTGTAGGTAAAAACGTCACCAGGTAATGAAGGAGTGATTTACTCTATATGCTGGGCCCCAGCTGATTTGAATTGTTTGGTAGCAGGTACTTCTAAGAAAGGAATATTTATATGGAATTATACTACCAACAGAATCACACAAAGATTCCATGAGGTAAATATTGCTCATTTGAACTAGTTAGAAATCTTAGATAATAACTGAGTTATGTTTATGACAGATCAGATTCAGATGTACATATTTATAAATAGATCAAGACGTGGTATAATTGCATCAATGCCAATCAGACAACTATCCACTAGAGACCAAATGACGTAGATTTCTCATTTTGTTTTGTTAGAAATCTTTGACAGATGAGTTATGTTTACTGTAGATCAGATGAACAAATATTAAATATAAGAAGATGTGGTATGATTACACTATACCAATTGAACAACTATCCACCAGAGACCAAATGGCGTAGATGTAAGCAACTATATGTAACCTTTTTCTACATAAGGAAATGCCTGTACCAAGTCAGTAATATGACACTTGTTTTCCATTCGTTTGATCTGTTTGAGCTTTTGATTTTTCCATTTGATAAGGGACTTTCCGTTTTGAATTTTCCTTGGAGTTCGGTATTTTAGTTATTTTACTTTTCACCTATGTGTGCAATTGATTGACATTTATATTGTGCAGTAAACAGCCATTTCTGCCTTTGATCACATTATATTGAAATGAAAGCATAATGTTCCATTATGAAAAGATCCCCAAATAAATGTACATATATCTTTAAACTTTATGTTAACGAAAGATCATGTGTAAATTTATCAGATATACATGCTATATTAAAGGTCTTAATTACTCAAAACGAAATTTGAAACAAAAGAAATATTTATGATACAAAAATGGAATATAGATTGCCTACCTCCTTTATTTTTTTCTTGTGGAAGTTCCTGCTACAGATATCGACAATAAATAGTATGAAATTTCCTACCACAGATATCTACAATAAATTGCATGATTTGTCTTCCTTTGAATTTGCTTGTTATCTCATTAGGACTTTCTTGAATTATGTGCCATAAAGTCAAGTGTTCATCTGGTTCTACAAGATAATTTGATGTGCTCTTTCTTGGACAATATACTGCTTTGTGTGGTGTAGTGGTGATTAGAAGGAGGGGTGGGATGTCTTTGATTCAAAAGTTATCAATCCATATGTTAAAAACTGTTGTATATGACCTATATTTTCCAGCATGGAGAAAGTCCTGTTTTTGGTGTGGCTTGGAACCAGAGTGATTCCAGAAGGATTATGTCTGTTGGACAAGATTGTTATTGGTAAAACTATTTTATTTGTTTTTGACAAAATATAAAACAAGTAAAAATTTCTCACACCCTTTATTACACCAAAGTTTAAAGTGGCATACTACTTATATAGTGTCGGAAGTTATCTGTTCTGGTTAAGTTAAATATCTGGTGGAATTTTTATTTGTTACAGTAAACTTCAAACAAATTATTTTTGTATCAAACCTGATGAAATAGGTTAGGGTAAATATTGAGTCAGCTAATGGGCTTCATTTGTGACTTTATTAAAATTATTGTACAGTCGAACCTCGTTGTGTCGAACTCGGTTGTGTCGAAAACTCGGATGAGTCGAAGTAATTTCTTGGTCCCAGTAACATTCCCGTTTGATCAATGCATAATAACCTCTGATGAGTCGAACTCGGTTGATTCGAATACTCTGTTATGTTGAGTAAATTTTATAGTCCCATCGATATAAGATTAATGTAAATTGACCCCGATGTCTCGAAGTTCGAAAGTAAGAATTTTCGAAAGATACAGACCTAATGATAAAAACTCAAATCAGATGTATTTCTTATGTAACCTAATCATTTTCAAAAGAGATTAAAGCTAAGTAAACATGCTTGTTTGTATAACAGTTAAATTGACATGTTTATGGTTGCCGGTAATTAACACCTTTGTTGATTGTTCAAGCGGAACTTTAGAGTGTTGAACATATTTTACATGAGATAAAAACGAAACGAATTTAAATGACACTAGCCGAGATTAAATCAATCGTTAGAATTAAAACTCATTAATTACAATAAATAAAGGTTTAAGACAATTATGATTAATTCATGATAATTTAATGTACAGCAGACACCCTCATCAGAGACCGTTCAGAACTTATTTCGTTCCGCAAATGATTTCATAATTTATAGTGACTGACCTTTATAAATATTTGTGTAGACTATTGATTTTATTTGGGCATGATTTGTATCTGTTCTTGTGTGTTTGATTATTATGAAGGACCAACAGTGGCGATTGCATACACAATTATAAAGTGTGTCATATCGAAAAAAGGCACAGTGTTCAAAGTATCTAGTTTACGCAAATCTCATACCATATTTCTACGACACACACGACCTCGGTTGAGTCGAACCTCGGATGAGTCGAATACTTTGGTCCGGTCCCTTCGACTTCGACTGTACTTAGGAGTCATGCAGCCTAGATGTTTTGGCTTTTTTTATGCCAAAATATAAAGCTTCAAATTATGTGTTTCAAATTGAGAGTAAACAAATTGATGGAATGTCTGTTCTTTCCTCAGTAAAAAATCAAGTGGTTTGAATGGACCCCTCATAATAAATCATTGAAAATTGGTGCACATTGAATGACTTTTTCACAAAATACATCTTTCTCTTGGGGATTTATGAAATTAAAGTACAACATGCAAAAGTAAACTTTTTCAAGTGAAAAATAATATAAACTATGACAACTTTTAATAGTGTCAAGATAATGGAAACTACTATATATTAGAATGACTCCTATAATTCTTCAGTATCATACGATTGGTGAATGGTGAAGTTATACAGAAATACAGACATCCTGAACCCGTTTTTGGCTGTGATTGGAGTCCACATAATAAGTAAGCTAAATCATTAAAACAATAGTAGAATAAAATTTTATTGATGATAACTCAAGTCCAATAACATGTTTATTTAGTAATAAACAACAAAACCTTTATATTAAAGCCCTTTTGAACTGTTTGAAAGAATCCTTTATCAGAATAAGCCAATACAACCAACCCGGGAAAAAAAGAGCAATAAAAAGCAGAACAAACAAGCTTTGAGAACAACATATATGTATAACTTTTTATTATAGAAGAGATGCAGAATAATGCATTAAAATCAAGTGTAATTTATATAAACCCATGTTTTTAATGATATTTGACAGAGATATGTTAGTGACAGGATGTGGAGATATGAAAGTTAGAGTATATTATATACCTACATCAGCTGATGCACCCCTGAAAGTATTTACTGGTAAGATTTCTTACTAATTTCTCATTTGTTTGGTGGGCCACCTACATTTGCATGAATGTTTTAAACTGGATAGATACGAAGTCAAGAATCCGTGAACTCAATTCTGTCCTTTTCTTGACGTTTTACAAGTTGGGTATCGCTACCAGTAAATATCTTCATTTTCAACAGTTCAATAATTGATCATTTAAATTTTGCACAAACGCAATGGATTTTGCTGCAAAGGTGGAAAATTTTTCGCGAAAATGTAACGCACTGAATTTTGCAGATGTACATACATTTTGAGCTCTACAAAATTTCTATATGTATAATAAAATTATGACGATTTTTGTCGAGCATGCGACTTTTGTCGCAAAAGAGAGACATAGGGATCCTACATTCCGGTGGCGGCGGCAGAGTCCACAAATATTCACTCTGTGGTTAAAAGTTTTTTAAATTTTAATAACTTTCTTAAATTATCCTGGATTTCTACCAAACTGGGACAGAAGCTTGTTTATGATCATAAGATAGTATCCAGAAGTAAATTTAAAAAAAAAAAAATCCTGTTTATCCGTATTTTACTTATAAATAGACTTAGTTTTTCTGCCAGTTAACATTACATTCACTCTGTGGTTAAAGTTTTAAAAATTTTAATAACTTTCTTAAACTATCCTGGATTTGTACCAAACTTGGACAGAAGCTTGTTTATGATCAAAAGCTAGTATCTAGAAGGAAATTTTGTAAAAACTTATTTCCTGTTTTCCGTATATTACTTATAAATAGACTTAGTTTTTCTTCCAGTTAACATTACATACAGTCTGCAGTTAAAGTTTTTAAAACATTTATTCGATTCATAAACCATCCTGGATTTTTACCAAACTTGGACAGAAGCTTCTTACAATCAAAAGATAGTATCTAGAGGAAAATTTAAAAAAAAATTTCCCATTTTTGTTGAGCCTGCGACTAACAGCAAAAGTAGGCGAGACACTGGGTTCCGCAGAACCCTTACAAATTTTTTTTAAAAGAGCTGGTGATTTCTTTTTGAGTACTTATCATTTTAAAGGCATAGAAATGATTCATATTCAATATAGTTCTGTATTTATTGATTTTGATTTTAGCCATAAGTCGTAGTCTTTCAGTCTTTTCATTAAACGATACAGCTTTGATCATTTGTTAAATATATGAAAGTTTCTAATTATAACATGTATGTACAGCAGGAATAGCATAACTTTGACTTCATTTTCATGATTCATTGTTGCTAGATATCATATTTGTAGTATGTCATATAGTTGCAACACCTCCTTGTAGTGTTGATACATGTACAAACCTTAGAAGAATGTAGCTTCTTGTTTTTAGATCCATATATAATCTATAAATAGTCATTTGTGCATGTGAGATGTGTCAGTTTGTCTACTCTAGTCTTAGTTTAATGCTATTTTCTTTCAAATTAAGAAACTGCCCAATGCCGAACCATTTACAAACATTGAATATTTTGTCTATGACACTTAAATAGTCATGTTGCTTTTTCATTTTAGGTCATACAGCTAAAGTCTTCAAAGTAAAATGGTGTCCACTGAGAGAGAGTATTATTTGTAGTGGTTCAGATGATGGGTTGGTGCTACATTTTAACATAAATATATCTTTTGAGTGGTAAAAGAACAGTTAAAAGAGAGTTTAAGATATTCTAGAAACCAAAAACTGTGGGCTTTATTTATGGATATTTGTTTGGTATTTTTGAATAAAAAAATAAAAATGAAACATCCTTCCTTAAACATATTACTCAATTCTGGATCTGGTTAACGTTGTGGTCTATAATTTCTTAAGAGAATTATTGTATAATTTCAAATGCATTTTCTACTATTGTTAATTTGGCGGGTTATAACAAATGCAAATTTGTTTATAGTATTGTGATTTTCTGGTGGATGGATGGGGAAAAGAGGGAAGCCAGCTAAGGTAGCCACATTGTTGGTTGAATACTGCCACTTTCAAGAAAACAAGACAGAGAAAAAGACAAAATAATAAATTTAGATACTAGAAAAAAGACATTGCAATTATATGATCCTAAGGTTGTAATGGGATGCTCAGCTTTTCAATGCCATGCTTAATTTATATATTTAGATAAATCATTCAAGAAAGATTTTTTTAAATGAAATTATATAGAACAGGGATTTTAAATAATGTAAAAGTATATTGTAGGACAGTAAGAGTATGGGACTACACCCAAGGAGCTTGTATTTGTGTATTAAATGGACACACTGCCCCTATACGAGGTCTTCTATGGAACACAGAAATACCATATTTATTGATAACTGGCAGCTGGGACTACTCTATCAGGATTTGGGATCTTAGAGATGGAGCCTGTATTGACACCATTTTAGACCATGGAGCTGATGTTTATGGTATCTCAAAATAAATCTTTGTTATTAATGTAGTAGTAAAATTCTATGCTTATTCATAGTTGCAAATTTTTATACCCCTGTCGTAGGCGAGGGGGGGCATTAAGCATTACCCTTGACTGTCCGTCCTTCTGTCTTTCTGTCAGTCCCATTTTTGTTTGTTTGAAGCTTGAGTAGGGGCATTCGTGTCCTCAGACACATTCTTCTTTTATTTAAATATATCTTGTTTGTTAAGTAAAATTTAGAACTTTATTTTTCTTTTGAGAAATCCCTGTGTTATAAATACACCAGATAGTAATGCAAGAACCTTTGTTTTGGAGATATTGAGACCATGTGCTATAAAAAATGTGTACAATAGCAGATCTCAAATTGAGGAATTCAATCATGGTAGTTAAGAAATATGTTGAATTTTGAAAGATATTGAATTTCCCTGTCTCAGTATGAATATGACTGGAGTATATTGACATACCCTTGTCTGCTTATATATATGTACTAATGACATTTGTTTTGAATGTTGGTCAAAGTTTTAGATTTTTGTAAAATGTTTTTTTAAGGAATCTTTGCTATTTAGTTACATCCTCTAGTGGCTTCAAAAGCACTGCAAAACTATATAAGATTTAAGTAAACATGTTTCTGCAGACTCTAATATAATTTTTCATTTAGGTCTAACAAGTCATCCAGACCGACCATTTCTGATAGCCTCTAGTTCTAGAGATTCAACAGTTCGACTTTGGAATATCACACCACTAGTACAACCATTAGAGATGAACATCATAGCTGGAAAACCTTGGTCTGAAATCTTTGGAACTGTTGGTTTGTATTTTGTAGTATTCTCACTTTTTGTTTGATTAAATATTAGTTAAATGTAAATAGTCACGATTTGATTTGCTTTGTTTCTTTTAAAGAATGTCAGGTTTGAGAAATAAATGTAATCAGTGAATAAAATATTTATTTGTGGGGAATAGGTGTTTCCTTGATAAAAATCTATTCATATTTCAGTGAATGATATAATGCAAAATAAACCGTTACATTTTGTGATTTCAGAAACAGCAATGGTGCCTGGTCAGAATCCATTAATGATTGGACGAGCTTCTATTGAACGTAAAATAAAACAATTAGAATTGGCTGGTTTAAAAGATGTCAGACCTCAAACTCTCAAAGTATTTTCAAAGTTTTTTAGTGTAAGTTTTGTAATGACTATTTTACATAAAAGTTTTTTTAAGTTGAGATAGAATTTATTGTTTATCTGCATAACTATTGCACTTACATACTCCTGAAGTCAATGGATACTAACAGATCTTTTCTAAATATGATTGGGTCTTTTTTTCAGATATCATAAGCAATAGGTAAACTATATCTGGTATATGGAATACTTTGCAGGTGTACATAATTGTAGACTTATCTGACGACCTAGTTTGCATGGATCATTGATAATGTTAAGTTTAAGTGATATCTGTAGTAAAAACCTTGACCATTAAAAAAGACTTTCAACATAATTTCAATCACAATCAGTACAGCTGGTTTAGACATTTTAGTGTATTCACTCTTGTGTATGAACATAACGAGATGATGTGTGGGTAAAAGTTAATGAGACATCAACGGAATGGCAGATAAAACTTCAAAACAATTATTTTACTAAAACTGAATAAAACTGTCATTCTGATATAAAAGTTTCAGTAACTTTCAGATTAAATTAGTTTTACAATATTACAGCAACCAGCAGGCAGCAATAATTTATGGAACTTGGTGTCTGTAGTACAGGGTTTGGATGATATATTACTTGGAGAGAATTACAGTAAAGGAATCATGCATGTTAAACATCTTACTAAGTTTAAGGCAGTAAGTATATTCAGTATATTCAGCATATTCATTATATTCAGTATATTCAGTAAACTGTATATAAACTCTATAATATATCTTATTTTAATTTATTGTTCTATAATCTTAGTTAAATGTCAACAAACAGCCACAAAATAAAATAAAGTAATTGCTGTGTTCTGATGATCAAAAGAAGTAATTTGATGCAAATATTTATTTTTAAGTTGAGAATAAGGAACTTAACCTTGAAATAAAAAAAAAGATAATTGAATAATGATATACAAATCTAATTTGTATTTTTAAATACATAGGTAGATAATCCTCAGAATATTCTTGAATTTTTGTTTGTAAGAAATTGTGTTCTTTTTTCCCTCATTTTAGTCAGAAGCTCAGACATTAGAAATGGCCAAAATGTCAAAGTTTGGAGGTGGTATTGGTGCACCTACAAGGGAGGAACATTTAAAAGAATCAGCTAAGATACATATGCAATTAGGAAATATACAAAGATATTGTGAAGTTCTTGTAGAACTGGGACAGGTACTGAATTATGATTTTCATTAGATTTTAGACATTATTTCAGAGTAAAATGGTTACTTTCTTATTTGTTCTTATCACTTCCATGCTATTAAGAATATAGATTTGATGGTACAAAGACTTAAAAACATCTTAAAAAGGCAGGCAAGACAACGACAGAAAAATGGACACCATCACAAGTTAACACAGAAAATTGTAACCTGAATAATTCAGTAGATATATTCTGCTGATCTACGATGGCTACATTAACATCTAAATGCAATCAAAAATGGTCAATCAATCATTCGGAATAAGCTCAAGATTTACCTATCTCTATAAGATTGAGCTGACTGCTGTTTGGTCACCTATCCTACAGTGAAGAGGTTTTAGCGTGTTAAGAATTCAGGCCTTCACAAGTAGGAAAGATTGATTACAGGGAGGAACTGAATTATTTTAATTAAGAAAATTGATGAAAAGGAACAAGAATCTTAGTTTCTGTTGATAGACACTTAAATTGATATTACAATATATGAATATTAAAAATTGCATTACAAAAATTTATTTGTAATTTTGAATGTATTCAGGTTATATAGGGAGAGTTATATTTAGTAAATGAAACTTCTTAAAGTGGTCCTCATGAATTGGCATAGATATTTCACAAGATAATGCAAAATCTGGTTGATTTGCATTTATATCCAGTTTAATTATCTCCCTTTTAATTAACAAATGCACAGAAATTATTTCCCTTAGGCTAAATCACAAATTTTTTTATTCTGATACAAGACTGTATTTCAGATGAATTTCTGAATTGTATATTAAAGTAACAAAGATATTGTAATCAATTTAATCAAAGAAATTTACAATTTGAACAAATCTTGTGGAATTGTATGACATAAATTAGAAGATTTTGGGTAGCTACAGCAATTCATTAAAAAATTCAAGCTTTTTATTCTTCCTCTAGGTGCTGTTGAATTAATGCTAAAGTCAAATACCATTTAACATTTTAGAAATTGAAGTATTGTAGTTTGTAAGGAAAGTCTTAGTCTCATCTGTTAAAAACACCGTAAGAAATAATTATAAAAAATTAAGTTGTTTTATTAATAACAAAAGCATGCGAAATATTAAGTTTATTATGCCTATGATTTTTTCATTCTTTTACAGTGGGAGAAAGCTTTAGCTGTTTCACCGGGTGTTTCATTAGAGTATTGGAAATCATTAACTAAAAGGTATGTATCATATAAACAAATATGTTAATATAGCTTACTTTTTGCACATGTTATTCATGACAGTATTTTAAAATAAAGAAACACAAAATCAATCTGAAAAAAAATTAAAAGACTTCTTATTGTAACAGGATACGATATTGATAAGAAAATTTATAGGACCAACAGTTAGTTTTAATATACAATGTATTAGAACAAAAATAAAAGTGTTTTAAACACAAATAAAAGAAAGTATCTCATAATTTAACAAACTTTGACATTCTTTTTCATTTCATCCTGATATTAAGGTATGCATTAAGGTTGATCAAAGACGAAAGTGATGAAGTTGTGCCATTTGGCGTAGCTGTAGGTGATACTGAACTCTTAATTAGTAATTTCACTACTAGAGGGCAGCTGTTTGAGGCAGTATTGACAGCCCAGGTTGCATGTGAAGGAACATTTATACCTCAACAGAATTCCTCCTCCTCACCAGGGTTACCTAATGGTACTGATTTACCTTCTAAACAGGAAGATAAGTAAGTTTAGGCAGATTTAAAAAATTTACCAAGTATGAAGTGAGGCCCGGTGTCATATGGTATTTTGAACCCCATGAAAATTGAACCCAGGGTCAATTTTCCATACCTCCCAATAGAAAATTGTCAAAGCTACTCAAACTACTTTATATAATAATAAGGCTTTAATAAGTATTTGGTAGGACTAAAACATGTATGAAAATATTTTTTTTACATTTTTACTCAGAATGGTATTTTGAACTCCCCCTCCCCCCTTATATAAACCTCAGCTTTTAAATTGTCATAGCTATTCAAACTACTTTTTATAGTAATAATACTAAGCCTAAGGTACATTTGATTTGATTTTTGGTGTTTTAACGCCACTTTTAAGCACCGCTTTTGGGCTATTTCCTGGCGGCCAGTTTTTATTGGTGGAGGAAGATGGAGTGCCTGGAGAAAACCACTGATCTTCGATAGGAAAACTGACAATCCTAGTCAATTAAGATTGGAGTCGAGTGCACCTGCACGAGCGGGGTTCGAACTCACAACCTGAGTGTTGACTGGCTAGTGATTACAGTAGTAACTACTTATACCACTCGGCCACCAAGGCCCATGTAGATTCTACATTTTACATTCATTTAAAGGAAATAAAGGGATTCAATTCTTCTTGGGGTTTCAATTACCTGCTATAGAAATTGACCCCAGGTTCAATTTTCCATACGGTATTTTGACCCTGAGATCAATATTCCAAATGGTATTTTGACACTGGGATCTATTTTCAGGGTGTTCAAATACCATATGACACCAGGTCAACTTATTAGCATCAAATAATAATTTTTGAATATGTATTTACCAAACATATGTTGACAATCACATTGGTTAGAGAAAGGTTCTCTTTTGTCTTGAAATATAAGTAAATTTAATCACAAATATGGATTTAATGCATTATGGATTGATACCCTTATAATTCTACAAGAGCATTACAAAAAGCCCATCCATCTTATCACTTAGAATTCTTTTATTGAAATGTTTAGAATTATTTTAAAAGCATTCTAAAGTATTCTGGGTGCAGAGGGACAATGAAGTGTATTTTTTATATCCTTTATACAGGTTATTAAAGAACTGTGTACAAAGATTAGCTGACTGGTATTTTTATAACGGATCTCCTATATTATCTGCTTGCTGTTATCTGTCTAAGGATGATGTCAAAGTAAGATATTTCTATAATTGATCTCCTATATAATCTGCTTGCTGTTACCTGTCTAAGGATGATGTCAAGGTAAGGTATTTCTATAATGGATCTATATAATCTGCTTGCTGTTACCTGTCTAAGGATGATGTCAAAGTAAGATATTTCTATAATTGATCTCCTATATAATCTGCTTGCTGTTACCTGTCTAAGGATGATGTCAAGGTAGGGTATTTCTATAATTGATCTCCTATATAATCTGCTTGCTGTTACCTGTCTAAGGATGATGTCAAGGTAGGGTATTTCTATAATTGATCTCCTATATAATCTGCTTGCTGTTACCTGTCTAAGGATGATGTCAAGGTAGGGTATTTCTATAATTGATCTCCTATATAATCTGCTTGCTGTTACCTGTCTAAGGATGATGTCAAGGTAAGATATTTCTATAATTGATCTCCTATATAATCTGCTTGCTGTTACCTGTCTAAGGATGATGTCAAGGTAAGATATTTCTATAATGGATCTCCTATATTATCTGCTTGCTGTTACCTATCTAAGGATGATGTCAAGGTAAGGTATTTCTATAATGGATCTCCTATATTATCTGCTTGCTGTTATCTAAGGATGATGTCAAGGTAAGATATTTCTATAATTGATCTCCTATATAATCTGCTTGCTGTTATATAATGATGATGTCAAGGTAAGATATTTCTGTAATTGATCTCCTATATAATCTGCTTGCTGTTATCTAAGGATGCTGTCAAGGTAAGGTATTTCTATAATGGATCTATATATTCTGCTTGCTGTTATCTAAGGATGATGTCAAGGTAAGATATTTCTATAATTGATCTATATAATCTGCTTGCTGTTACCTATCTAAAGATGATGTCAAGGTAAGGTATTTCTATAATGGATCTCCTATATTATCTGCTTGCTGTTATCTAAGGATGATGTCAAAGTAAGATATTTCTATAATGGATCTCCTATATAATCTGCTTGCTGTTACCTATCTAAGGATGATGTCAAGGTAGGGTATTTCTATAATGGATCTCCTATATAATCTGCTTGCTGTTACCTATCTAAGGATGATGTCAAGGTAAGGTATTTCTATAATGGATCTCCTATATAATCTGCTTGCTGTTACCTATCTAAGGATGATGTCAAGGTAGGGTATTTCTATAATGGATCTCCTATATAATCTGCTTGCTGTTACCTGTCTAAGGATGATGTCAAGGTAAGATATTTCTATAATTGATCTCCTATATAATCTGCTTGCTGTTACCTATCTAAGGATGATGTCAAGGTAGGGTATTTCTATAATGGATCTCCTATATAATCTGCTTGCTGTTACCTATCTAAGGATGATGTCAAGGTAAGGTATTTCTATAATTGATCTTCTATATAATCTGCTTGCTGTTATCTAAGGATGATGTCAAGGTAAGGTATTTCTATAATGGATCTCCTATATAATCTGCTTGCTGTTACCTATCTAAGGATGATGTCAAGGTAAGATATTTCTATAAAAAAATAAAATAGGCAAGTAAAGAAAGATTACCTATTGGCTAGATACTGTAAATTCAGAAATTATTGCGATGTTGTTATTATTGCGAAAATTTGCTACAGGGTTATAATCGCAATAATTTAAACTCGCATTTTGAATTTTTTTATATTAATTAAACAGGATTTTTCTCAATAAAGTTAAAATCGCATTTTAGTCTAAAATTACAAAATCGCAATAATAAATGCACGCAATAATTTCTGAATATACAGTAGTACCTTTTAAAGTTAAAACGTGTCAAACAGACAAGTGTTTTGAAACCTTTATGTTAAGAGTTTTTCGCTATAGATATTTTACCTATTTTCTTGAATATTGCAATCAACAGAGAGTAGATATCAAATAATATTAAATAGGAAAAGGACAAAAAGTTACACAGAATTGAAAGTAAAAAGATGTGTACTTAATTTTAGGGTGCAATAGGAATACTCATTAGAGGTCATGAGCTTGAACTGGCAGTTGCTATGGGAACAGTTTTAGGAAATGTTTCAGAGCAAACATATTTAGCAATAGAATATTTATCAAGAAGATGTGAACATCATGGCAAATGGTAAGAACAAACTATTTGTTAAGAAAAGTGAAATTGGATATCAGACAGGCAAAATTTACTTCTATTATTGAATTTTGACAGCTAATGTCTTTATTTATTAAAGGGGCATTAGCTGTCAAAATTCATGTTCACCAATTGACTTAAACTCTCATATTTGATATTTGATTTATAACATGCTAAAACATATATCCAAATTACAAAAAGTCTAAAATGAACAACTAACAATGCATGGACTCAATAATATGTATCAGCATTTTGTGTGTATTTTAGTCTGTAGCCATCTAATCAACCATTGAGATGCCGACAGTCATATTATCCAATATAAACATAAAAATGAAAATAAATAAATGGCAAGCAGGTGCAATTGACTTTTTCTATGTCTGTTTGAATTCATGTTACAGGTTAAAAAATATGTTAATTATTGTTTTTACCTGTATAAGAATGATTTTTTTGTGAATCGAATCGGTGAAAGAAATGGTTCACCTGGTTTCACTTTCAATGTTGACATTCTTTTCCTTTTCATAGTTAAACACCCGTAGTTCATATGTGGGTAACCATCTCCACCTAAGGAGTTCAATTGAAGGTCACATGAATACAGACTCACATGAGGTTGAATTATTGACTTATTGAATTATTGGGCAATACTGACTGCTTACAACGAAATAATTTAAAAATTACGTTTTTATTAATATTTAGAACAAAAAGAATCGTATTTTGAATTTTAGTCTAAATCGTAGCTAATAGAAATAAGAAGGTGTGGTATGAGTGCCAATGAGACAACTCTCCATCCAAGTCACAATGTGTAAAAAGTAAACAATTATAGGTCAAAGTGAAATTGAATATCAGACAGGCAAATAAATGCCCCTTTAAATAAATCCGTTAACATTGGTTCTCAAAACATTCATTACCTCCCTTTGTTAGTTACAGAATATCTTAGGGATTTTTATATTACAACATCTCATACCAACCCTAAATATTCACATAAGTACAGAACTTACCTTAAGGGTTAATTTGTGATGGAATATGAAATTTGAATTTGACTTTTTATCTTATTTTACTTCAGGGAACTGGCTATAGATTTGTTAAAACTTATACCGGACAACAGTTTACTATTGGCCAAATGTTGTTCTCGATGTTCTGCAAGTAAAGATGAGATTAACAGTCTTCATAAGAGGGTATGTATTATTTATAAAATAATTTACATAATGCAACTTAAAATGTGTTCTCACATCAGCCTGTTTTAATTGCATGATGGTGATGAAGTAAAAAAAAGGAGAAAAACTTACAAAGTTTGAATGAACTTTTGAGCTTAACTATTTTAATGACACTGGAACACTTTTTTAGTCATAATTGTGTTAAGAGGTGTAACTACTATTAGATAAAGCCTTAATTTTGTATTGTGTCATTAGATTATTGTTTTGGTAGACATCTGATATTGGTGTACCTGAGTGGAAATTTAGTACTGTTCAAACATTTCGCTTGTAGTCAATCCATTACTGTTAAGTTGCTTTTCAGGCAATTCAATACTTTATAAAAATAAGGAGATGTGGTATGATTACCAATGAGACAACTATCCACCAAAGTTCAAATGAAGTGGATGTAAGCAATTATAGGCAACCGTACGGCCTTCAAAAATGAGAAAAACCCATATGATATGGTTGGCTATAAAAGTCCCTGACATGAAAAATATGAAACAATTCAATTGAAATAAAATGCTCCGCTGGGGCGCAGCTTGATACGACCGCAGAGGTCGAACCCTGAACAGTTGGGCCAAGTACGGACACAACATTCAAGCTTGATACAGCACTGAATTTGGATTGTAATTAAATATTTGACACAGAATAGGTTTCTGACACAGAATGAATGTAGTCTAAGAACTTAAAAATTTTTAATTTACCTATTCAAACCATATCATTATTATTTGCTTTTATATATAAATCAGAAATAACCAATTTAAAATTGAAAATTTTAAAGAAAAACTTATGATTCATCACCCCAAACTCAATCCCAGCCTTCCCTTTGTGGTATGGTACCTTGTAGTACAATTTCAGAGAGATCCATACACTTGAACACAAGTTATTGTCTGGAAACTAGAAAAATGCTTGTTTTTTGGCTCCTTTTTGGCCCCAAAATCCTAAACGTTTAGGGCAATTACCCCCAAATTCAAACCCAGCTTTCCCTTTGTGATATGGAACCTTGCAGTGCAATTTCATAAAGATCTATACACTTACACACAAGTTATTGTCCTGAAACTAGAAAAATGCTTGTTTTTTTGCCCCTTTATGGCCCTTAATTCCTAAAATTTTGAGGGAATTACCCCCAAAATCAATCCCAGCCTTCCCTTTGTGGTATGGTACCTTGCAGTACAATTTCAGAGAGATCCATAAACTTGAACACAAGTTATTGTCTGGAAACCAGAAAAATGCTTATTTTTGGCCCCCTTTTGGCCCCTTATTCCTAAACGTTTTGGGCAATTACCCCAAAACTCAATTCCAGCTTTCCCTTTGTGATATGGAACCTTGTAGTACAATTTCATAAAGATCCATACACTTACACACAAGTTATTGTCATGAAACTAGAAAAATGCTTGTTTTTTGCCCCTTTTTGGCCCCTAATTTCTAAAATATGGAGGCAATTACCACCAAAAACAATCCCAGCATTCCCTTTGTGATATGGAACCTTGTGGTACAATGTCAGAGAGATACATACACTTACACACAAGTTATTGTCATGAAACTAGAAAAATGCTTGTTTTTTGCCCCTTTTTGGCCCCTAATTCCTAAAATTTGGAGGCAATTACCCCCAAAATCAATCCCAGTATTCCCTTTGTGATATGGAACCTTGTGGTACAATGTCAGAGAGATCCATACACTAACACACAAGTTGTGTCTGGAAGTTACAAAAATGCTTATTTTTGGCCCCTTTTTGGCCCCTAATTCCTTAACTGTTGGTACCATAACCCCCAAAATCAATCCCCACCTTCCTTTTGTGGTATTGAACCTTATGGTAAGAGATCCATTCACTTAAACTAAAGTTAGAGTGCGAAAACCAATGTGTCTTCGGACGACGACGTCGTTACCAACGTCATACCAATATACGACCACAAAATTTTTTTGTGGTCGTATAAAAACTAATCTTTCAATCAGTTTAGTCTTAAAAACTAACGGCCTAATTTATAACAAAACAGTTTACAAAAAACAAATATGACAGACATGAACCAAAGACAACCACTGAACTACAGGCTCCTGACTTGGGACAGGCACATAAAGAATGTGGCGGGGTTAAACATGTTTGTGAGCGCTCAACCTTCTCCTAACTTGGGACAGTGGTGTAACAGTACAACATAAGAACAAAGTATAAAAATCAGTTGAAAAAGGCTTAACTCATCAGATTTTCTGTTTATTGATTTGTTCAGGTAAATAACTACTGAGCAATCTGAAAATAGATTTTTAGGGACTCGAGCGATGTATCTTTAGGGACTCGAGCGATGTATCTTTAGGGACTCGAGCGATGTGTCTGAACAGTTCTAAATTTATTACATTGGATAAGTCTAAAAGTTGACTGAAAGACTAAAGTTGGCATTTTGATTTATTGTTCATTCTTTTAAGACCTGTTCAGATCAAAATGACTGTTATAGTGCGAATTAGATTTACTAGTGTTTGAACACTGAGCAAACAACAGATATTCAATCAATCAGATTTGTGAGTTGAATCTCTACCGGTAAATAGAACCTGCTTTGACATAGCTACAATTGTTTTAATATGATAACTTCATTTCAATTCTATTTTATGTTACAGGCTGGCCTTCTTTCTACAGAAGATTGTTTAACAGAAGCTGAGAAGCTTAAAAATGTTGTAAATTGTTTTGAATGTGCCAAGTATTATCTTTTATCTCCTAGTCCTGAAATTGGTTTAAATATTGGTCTTCAAGATGTTAAAAGTAAGTTATGATAGTTCTTTGCCGAAATCTTCTAAAAATGAGAAAAATTGAACTTATTCTGGACTAAATCAGAGTTTTTTCAATACTAATTTAATTAGTAATTTGTAATTATTGTCAGGCTTATTTCTAAAAAAAAAGAATCTTAAAGTGTGGTACATCCAGTTGAAAGTATCTATTTAGTCAGGAGATGTTAAATCTTATGTTATGCCTAATGAATGATGTACTTGATGTTCATTTAAGAACCCAAGTTACAACAAATTATAACAGGTGAGACAATGACTTTTTTAATGTGAAAACTTCTATCCTAATTTTTGCTTTACTTGTTTATTTTCAAATATCTTATGTGATCATGCTATACTGTTTATATATAAAATATGCAATAGATAAATACTAATGTTTACATTATAGTTTATTTTTAGGGTCCTCTTCTAGGTCCACATTTGAACAGTGTCAGTTTCTTTAAAAATCAAATGACTTGGAATAAAAAACTAAACATATAAAAGAGTCAATGTTATATTTCATGATGAAGACAATAATATAAAATTGTAAGAAGTTATATTATTATACCCCCGCTTTAAAAAAGTGGTAATATACTGTTTTACCTCTGTCTGTCCGTCTGTCCTTCCATCCGTCCGTCCATCCATCCGTCAGTCCGTCCCATGAATATTTTGTCCCATCTTTCTCAGGAACTACATTACAAGGATTTCTGAAATTTGGTTTCAGGGTTTATATGAGTCAGCTATACCGTGTGATGCGTTTTTAGATTCATCACTCAACAACAAATGCATATTTGGGCTGGGGGTATCATCAGTGAGCAGAAGCTCACAGTTTCACTTGTTTGTTACTTTCTAGATAAACGGGGAACAAATTCCGTAGCTATATTTGAAAGTGGAACACATTAGAATATAAAGTTATAATTTATGTATTTCAGAAAAATTATATTCAGGGTACTGGGATATAGATGAAGTATTTTCAGTATTACAGTTGATCTCATGTATTAGGTCAGATAAACTAGAACAAAATAATGAGTAAGTTTTATTTACTGTATTCAAAGAGACTATGTTGTTTTCTTATATAACATTCATATGGTTTATTGATTTTGTAATAGCAGTCCTATGACAATAATAGCATTTGTATGTCTTTTGAAATGATATATATACTGGGGTATATGAGACATTTGTTACTTGAGAAAGAGGACCAAGTCTATAATTTGCATGATACTTTTTAGTAATTAGATAGAGGTTACTGCATGTACATTAGCAACAAACTTAAAAACTGAATTTAACGAATTTGGATTCATTCGTATAGATAGGTATCATTGACACAGTGTGGGAAAGAGTAACTTCCCTTTTGTCACCATGTTGGAGAGGCAAGTGCGCAAATTGCTTCATAAATCAGCCAAATTCAACTTGTTGTACTGACCGCTAGACTTTAGAAAAAAGAGTTTTTCTGAACAATTTTGATTTCTTTTAACCTTGTTTAATTCATCACAAAGATCTAGTGAGAATCTCTTATCAGACTTGTGTGTATCTCATGTTCCAATTTGGTCTGTCAAATTAGAAAATGTGTTTATCCCTCCAAAATGGTGCCCAAGGGAAATAACTGTAACTCAAATTGCGTCATTCGAAACCTATCTATACAGATTTTTTTATTGATTTTTCTACTGTCCTTTATAATCTAAATATAATACTTATTTTGCAGGATGAGATATGAAGTATTGTGTTTGTGTTCGTATATCGGTGCACTGATGGCAATCAGGAAAGGATATGATCAGATTGTACTGTTTTTGTTGTCTTTAGCGAGGTAAGATTTTATACTTAGTGTGTCATCCTATGAGCTATGTAGAGGATTTAAGGTTGAATCTAAGTATTTGAATGGAACATTGCGTTTTTTGTTTTTAAAATATTTCTTTTTAATTGATTGTACGATCGAAAATATAGCTGACTATAAAATAGAAAAGTTACTCAAAATATGGACTGTTTAAACAAATGCAAAGTGATAGAGCATACTACTCCCCCTAAAGAAATGACTCAAACAGGAATTGTGTATTTTGTTGTGTTCTACTTGCTGCTAAAACAATTCTAGGCTTAGGAATCACTAGTGCTCTATGCTAATGTAGCCAAAATGTCCCTGAAATTAAATTATTTTGTGCTTAAATCTTGTTAATCCCCTATCAGTAAAATTTTGCCATGAAATGCAATCTACATATTTATATTTTCTCCTAGCCATAATTAGGACTTTTACAAGTGATAATGATATATCTTAATTTTATATGTGGTGTAAAATTACAGTGCCAAATAAGCCTCAAAAAGTACCTTCCCCTTTGCATATGATCAAAACATAACCCTACATTTTAAAAGATTTCTTCAATAAGAATCTTCCGAAAAACCCATCTGTCTTATTAGATTTATAATTCTAGGTAGTACTACATTTAAAGTACAAATTTGTCTGTAGTACTAATGAGTTTCCAAAATTAATTCTTTAAAAATTGAGTTTCTTCAAAATGTTATATAGAATTGTAATTGTGACTTTTTGTAATGACTGAGCTAAATCTTATTTTATTTATAGCAATGTGTTTTCATTAATATTTTCATTAATATTTTCATTAAAGAATTCAACAAAATAGTATTAAATTGTGACAATTAAAAACAATATTTTAGTAGCTATTTAACAACATTTGAACAATGTGTGATATTCTATAGAATATGTGTTTGCTGTATTTTAATTTTGCATCTAATAACTGCCCTGGGTAATAAGTGGAATGTAAACAAGGAACATCAGGGAGAGTTTAGACTCCTGAAAGTAATTGTTTCAAGTCAGAAATTGAAATAAAACCTATAATGTTGTTGTTATTTTTTTATATCAGAACTTTGATGCAGAGACATAATCTAACACTGCCTATAACAGACCAGATGATAGAGAAAGAACAGAAAGCATGGAATGTAATACTCAATCATAAAGACGAAAGGAGGTTTGATATCAATTATTCTGTATCATGAATTTTCCTTGTCTAAAGCTTTACTTGCTTAGATATTTCTTATAAAATTCAGAAGAAAATTATGATTCTGTAATATAGAACTGTAAACTTTATTCCTAGGGTAAACTATTCTATAGTTTTGATGGAATTTTTGCCTTAATGTTCATTAGATTGAAACATAACAAAGAACAATAGATATGCAGATGAAAATATACTTAGAGATGTCAGGAGGAGAAGTGACATATTTTATTTTTATTGTAAGAATCAAATGCATTTTGTTATTGGCAATGGAACATGGTATGCATTGGATTATCTCCCATTCCCAGTAATCAGGTGCGGAATTTCAGTGTGTGCTCTTGTGATAAGATTTAGATGATAATAATTACAATAGGTATTTGATATTGTTACATAATCATAATATATATATGTGTGTATGTATGTACAAGGGTTTTGATGAGTTTTGATGAAACTGAATTATAAACAAATTAGCATTTGGTGCCATGTTTTTTTTTCCAGTTTGACATTTGAGATAGATGTAACAAGTTTGAACGTATCACCAGATATCCTGACAGACTTCCAGAACCTAGTAAAGAAAGCTGGTGTGGAGAAAAGTTTAGTAGGAGTCGGACCTGACCTGGTAGCCAGTTCACATCTACCCTCTCACTCTGATGTACATATATCTGTGATAACAGGAACCAGGATAATGGTAAGTTATAGTCCAGTACATTGTAATGACAGGTACCAGGATAATGTTTGGATGTGATGCCCTACCTTGTCACTCAGTCGTTCTGGTATCTGTTATAACAGGAACCAGTCATATTGACTGAGTTCTAGTTTTCTGGTAATTGGTTCTTCCATCTCCTTCTGATAAACATATATTTGTGATTACAGGAAAAAGGAAGATATAGTGAGTTTTAGCGATCTGATAGACAGTTCAACTCTCTCAATGGACTATGCTAGGCTATGAGAAAAATATGAAGACATTAATACTCTTTAAGCTGTAAGGTTTTTGATACAAATCATAACCAAAAAACTTTAAGGATCAATGAACATTCATGCCATATCTATATTAAAAAAGTCCAAATGTTGCTAGACAGTGTGTCAACTACATGACAAATATATGGTCCCTAAAGACAAAGTCCTAAACAATATCCATCTTGTGTGTAAATCACATTAAGCAAGCGTTCTGAGAGGAATTGCAAATGCAATACAATTTTTTCTACCAACAAGAACATTAGATGAGTTAACACTTTTATGGGACAAGAATTAAATTAAGAAGGTCTGGTGAATTTTCAATTCATATTGGGATGTAGTTTGGAATTTACTTCTTATCATTTATCAGTTCAGATCATTTATTTGAAAATGTGGATATTTTTTTTAATCACTGCAAGCCTGACCAAAACCCTGAGGAATTAATGTTATTTCTTGAAACATATATTTTCAAGCAATTGTCTATATCTAGGGGAATACAACTTCTGAAAACTTTTCAACTTGAACAAATCTCAATCTTTATTGTTAACTTCTTATGATGTGACTATATACCCAAGTAATGTCTTATCTATTAAATTGATTCAGGCATTACAGGAAACTGATATTTTCTAGTAATTATCTCTGCCCCAGGGCCACAACTTTGGCAAAAATCACTCAACTGAATGAAACTTAAACTAGATCTGTAACTTCTTATGATATGCTTATATACTAAAATATCTAATCAATTTATTCAGGCAATACAGAAATAAGTGCTGTAAAACAGATTTAAAATTGATGGAGTTTTCCATGTCCAAGGGTCATAACTCCTGCAGAAATTTTTCAATTGAAATGGAACTAAAACCTGATCTACAACTTGTTGTGATATAACTATTTACCTAATATGTAATCAATTAATTCAGGCATAACAGAAAATGGTACAGAAAACTGACATTTTCAAGCAATTTTTCTATGTACAAAGCTCACTACTGCAGATATTTGCTCAACCAGAATGAAACTCAAACTTTACTTGATCTGCACCTTCTTGTAATAGGACTATTTACCAAATATTTAATGAGTAGATTAAAGCATTACACAAAATGTGCAGAAAACATATAGACTGACAGACTGTCTGAAGGATGGACAGACAGAGTGCAAACCTATAGTCTCCTTCACCTTCTCCAACAGGAGAATAAAACTGTTTTATAGGGAAATAGGTATTGACCAATCATTTTGTAACTTATCCAAACCCCAACAACACTTTCAACAAAAGAAATTATGGACAACCATTGGTCTGTCTTATGTTTCTTTGGAATTTCAACCAATTTTGAAAAACTGGATTTTTCACCAATATACTAGATACCCAAGTTTTGTAAGTGTCCTTACAAACAAGGTTTTTGTACAATTTTCAACCTTGAACCATTGTGTTTTACAGAAGTATTGGATGTAATATACATAGGAACTTTTTAAAATGTTGTTCCCCACTTTTCCATAAAGTCTTCATAAACTTATTCAGGAACCAGGGTTTGTAAAAATAAATACACGCTATATGATGATACCATTTTTATCTCAGAGAATATATCATTTTTAACCCAGGGGGCATTATATGTGTCTTATAAACAAAAATTAACAAAATCTCTCATATATCTTTAAATTCCGTTATTAATGTGTAATACTTTTTTTTTTTTTTTGGTGGGAAAGGGTATGGGGAAGTACTTCAATCTTGTTTTGTCTTTACATGCTGCACTTTAAACTTTTAATTTATGATCTTCCATGCACAGACCCCTAATCACTTTGACAGTCTTTTGACAGTCAAATTATCCACATGGTCATCTACCTATATATGTGATGAATTATAAGTGATTGTTATCTGAGTGATAAATGCATGATTCTTTGTAGGAATGCCTGCTGTATTTTTAAGCAAACATGCAAATAAAGACAAAATGATGAAGTAAAAAAAAAAAAATATACTGTATAAGAAAACCAGAAAAATAAGAATGTTGACCTCCATGGATTTTTTCTCTTGCACTTGTTCTATGTTTGATGTACACTTGACCCTGCCCCCCCCCCCCCCCCCCTCCTTTAGCTTGTTAACTTGCAGTTGAGATAAAGACAAATGATGAAGTAATAAAATTAATTTATTGTATAAGAAAACCAGAAAAATAAGAATGATGACCTCCATGGACTGTTTCTCTACCACTTATTCTATGTTTGATGTACACTTGATCCCCCTTTTCTAGCTCAACAATCCAGTTATTAGTGCTGGGGCTGGCATGATGAACAGTTGACCTGCTGGTGAACCCCTTTGAGAACATGTTGTTGTTTTTGTACAAATAATAGTGGATATGTGATGAAGAAGCTCCCATCATGACACACGATATCATGTAGACTCCACCTTGAGGTGCTGTAAATATTCCTGTACCAGGTTTATATGCTCCACCAATATTTGTTGTCACTTCATCAAACTTTAGTACATCATTTCCAGCAAAAGTTGTAGTTGCCTTCAGGAAAGCAAAAAATACTGCTCCCTGTCTGTGGCCTGCAAACAGAAATTTGTTATATTATTGCAGATCTTAGTTTCTATTGAAGAATGTGTGTTTACCTGTAGATGTATTTTGATTATTTGTCTCTTTTTGTCTATGTCTCATTTTAAAGTATACCATACATTTCCTTTTAGTCATACTGAATTATTATTGAATCCTCGTATACATGATTTGGCATAACTAATGTTAATATAAAATTGTACTTACTTTTACAGGAACATTTATTCATTCCCATCAACATTTTTAAAAGATCTTCTGTTATACATGTTGTCTTTCCTAAAACAAATTGTAAAAAGTAAAATTAAAATGGGAAATCACTTGTATTTAATTTCTCTCGAGTATCATATTGGTCTACAGCCTCAATCATTACTGTAAAACGAATTATTTTCCCGAACGATTTATTTTTCGCGAGTAGAAAAATTATGCGAATATAAATCATCGCAAATATGTAAAACTTGGATCTTTCCTTATTAAAATACATCAAATAAATTAGAAAATCACGAAATTAAATAGCCCCAAAGTGGGCTAGAAAGTGTAAAACCCGAAATAAAGTACTGACAAAAATTAGTTCGTTTACAGTATTATGCTTTCATATTTGTAACTGAGGTGAAAGAGGTATGTTTATAGAAATTCAATTGAGCCATACAGTTACTCAATAATAAAGTTTTCTAAAACCTTACCTTGCACAGAATCACATTGGCCAGCCTCTACATGATAACAACTCCATAATAGAGTTACAGCCAAAATTACATATGACAACATATTGGTTGGATAAAGTCTCATTCACAGTTTGCTAATTTGTCAGTGAATTAGACACTTGTAATGTCAAAATACTAAACACATATTTTAAAGAATCATTTGTTAAGTGTGTTGCATGTTGATGAAACAAAATCTTCTCATTAAAATGAAATTTGATACATCGAATAACATGTAACATGAAATACCATGAAAGTTGATATCTTAACTGAATGTTATGATCTTGAAATTAATAGTCAATTGACAATCAATTTAAGGATGTTTGCTGCTCTTGTTTTTGACTTTTTGTCAGATATCCAAAATCCTCTAGTTAAATCAATGTAGTGCCGTTAAAATTTTTGTCCCAAACCGCTATTTTTCTTAATTTTATTACAAATAGTTTAGAATGCCACTTGGCGTCCGTCGTCCATTGTTGTCCCTCGTCGTCTGTTAACTTTTACAAAAATGTTCACTGAAACTACTGGGCCAAATTAAACCAAACTTTGCTTAAATCATCCTTAGGGTATCTAGTTTAAAAAATGTATCCAATGACCCCGCCCATCAACCAAGGTGACCTCCATGGCAAGAAATAGAACATGGGGGTAGAATGCAGTTTTTGGCTTATAATTCTCTGAAACTAAAGCAACTAGAGCAAATCTGACATAGGATAAAAATGTTCATCAGGTCAAGATCTATCTGCCTGAAATTAGATATTTACTCAACCAGAATGAAACTCAAACTTGATTTGCATCTTCTTGTAATAGGACTATATACCAAATATCTAATGAATAGATTCAAGCATTACAAAACATGTGCAGACATCATAGACTTACAGACTGTCTGACAGATGGATAGACAGAGTGCAAACCTGTAGTCTCCTTCACCTTCGCCAATAGGGGAATACAACTGTTTTATACTGAAATCATTTGGAAACTTACCCAGACCCCAACAACGGAGCAGGATCTGATTACCCTTTCAGGAGCACCTGAGATCACCCCCAGTTTTTGGTGGGGTTCGTGTTGCTTAGTCTTTAGTTTTCTATGTTGTGTCGTTTGTACTATTATTTGTCTGTTTGTCTTTTTCTTTTTTGGCCATGGCTTTGTCAGTTTATTTTTGGTCTATGAGTTTGAATGTCCCTCTGGTATCTTTCGCCCCTCTTTTGTAAATGGACTGAAGTAGTGCATGTAATATACAAAGGAACTTTTTAAAAAGTTGTTCCCAACTTTCCCATAAAGTCTTCATAAACTTATTCAAGAAGTAGTGTTTGTAAGAATATTTATCTTAACTCCTTTACATTTCTAGGAATATGAATGGTTCAAAGTGACTCTGTATATTTTGTATGGAGTAAGTAAGCATGTTTATTTCAATACAGGATTATAAGTGGTGTAAAAATGACATGTTGTTGATGAAAAATCTGAAAGGTTTCAACAGACAAAGAAATTGAAGAGGAACGATTGAAATAAATTTATAAATCATTTTTGTGTAGACCAATCGAACTATTTGCTTTGTAACACTGAAGACTTGATCACTTTGATAGGCCACTTAGTCTAAATACCACATGTTAAGATAGTAGATAAGATAAATGTGTTACACAGTGTGCTATAGTGACGTAATACGATATATAAGGGGTCAGTAAATTCCATATATCAGAGTCAGAATTTTTTCACGTAAAGCGCAAACAAATTAATTTAGTTTTTCGACACTATCTATCAAATTTTTTTTTCTAAAATTTAACACTAGTAGGTATGGGGGAAATCTGCATTCAGAATACTATTTTTTGTCATCTGCTTGACCTCCCTTGAAGTTAAATGGTCGTTCCCTAACATAAATAATCTAGCTGCTTTATGTTTGAAATACATATTCTGACCTCATCAAATTTGCTAGCTCTCCCATTCAGCCCCCTCAAAACTAGATGGTTGTCCGCTAACAGACTACTGCTTAGCTCTCTTGCTGACACTTATGTATTGCGATGACATTTTGTATTATGCCAGGATAGACGGCAACTAGACGTAATTTGTCCAAATTTGACGTTATTCTACATGTGACGTCACGTCTTGATGACATAACATTGGAGACCGAACAAAGCCTAGGAAAAAGCTCAAGGCGTGCGATACATGGTATGGGATACGGGTTTAGCTATGCAATACAGGGTATGCGATACAGGGTAGATGATACAGACTTGAGAAAAGAGAATTTATTATACCCCACGCAACGAGTTGCGGAGGGTATAATGTTTTTGACCCGTCCGTCTGTCCGTCCGTCTGTCCGTCCGTCCGTCTGTCCATCAGTCCGTCAGTCCTGTTTCTTGTCATCGCAAATCCTCTCAAACCACACAACAGAATTTCACGAAACCTTTTTAGATAATAAGGAAATACAATGTACCGTAGAAAGGCTTGTATAGTTCGCAGTGGTACATAGTCCGCACCCCCTTCTCCCCACGAAATTTTAGGTAAAAAAACTTTTTGTAACTGTTAGAAAAGGTCTAATGAAACTCCGGTAATTTCAAATCCTGTGCGGTCGTTTGCGGTATTTTCTTGTTTCAGAAGCTGAAACTGCTTGTAAATGATTCTAGAACGCTTCATGATTCTTAAAATAAGTTTAATTCACTTAAAAAACAATTTAGAAACTTGTGTATGTTTAAACAGGAAGTTTAAAAAGCACGTGTAAAAGAAGAAATTAACCGGTGAGAGTCGAAATCCGTACATAACAGATATCACTTTAATACGACTTTGAAAGTAAAACAGTTCCATCTTTTTGTAAAACAGTCTTTAATATATCTATCACATTAATGTTTGAAGGGTCTTAAGCTAATACAAACCATATTAGTCAGTATGAAACACCAAAACGGAACGAACAATGACCGATTACGTTTTGTAGTTTACAAATTCTAAGCTGGTTTACAGTTGTCTTTTTCACTATGTTTGTATCGTTTCAATCAAGCAGATACCAGTTTATTTCAACCAATGCATTGAAAAGAAACGAGAAATTTGTAATGAAAGGTTTAGTTTTTATATTTATCAGTATTAATTTGATATTGAATAGAAATAACTTATTAATATGGATGAGTTAAAATTATTAGTTTGAAAAATGATAAGAGCGCCCTCTACAATATAAATAACAAAGATGGCGGAACGTAAACAAACAACCTCGCCCGCGAAATTGAAATTTTTCTCTTATTTCTTGCTTATTGTACTCTATAGTCCGCACCCCGTCTGGAAGGTCCAATTTTGGAGAATAAAACCGCGGACTATACAAGCCTTTCTACGGTAGTTGTGCATATCGACAGGAAATTACGATTCAATTTTTTTTCTAGGAGTTACTCCCCTTTGAACTTATTTACTTTAATGTACTACTGCAACAGTTTGTCATCTCAACTCCTCTGAAACCACACAACAAAATTTCATGAAACTTTGTAGATAATATGGACATACTACGTAGATGTGCATATCGACAGGAAATTACGATTCGATTTTTTTTCCAGGAGTTACGCCCCTTTGAACTTATTTGCCCAATATACTACTGCAACCTTTTGTCATCGCAACTCCTCTCAAACCACACAATAGAATTTCATGAAACCTTTTCAGATAATAAGGACATACTACGTAGATGTGCATATCGACAGGAAATTAAGATTCAATTTTTTTTCTAGGAGTTCATCCCTTTGAACTTATTTGCTTCAATATACCTCTGCAACAGATTGTCATCGCAACTCTTCTGAAACCACACAACAGAATTTCATGAAACTTTGTAGATAATAAGGACATACTAAGTAGATGTGCATATCGACAGGAAATTATGATTCAATTTTTTTTCTAGGATTTACGCCCCTTTGAACTTATTTAATTTAATGTACTACTGCAACAGTTTGTCATCTCAACTCCTCTGAAACCACACAACAAAATTTCATGAAACTTTGTAGATAATATGGACATACTATGTAGATGTGCATATCGACAGGAAATTATGATTCAATTTTTTTTTCTTATACAATTTTTTTTTCTTACAGTTATTTTATTTCTCCAGTGACAATGTGGGGACATGGGGTATGTGAGCGCGCTCACTAAGGTTCTTTAATTGAATATAAAAAAATTCTGTATTTAGTACAATATATATGATAAATGTGATTAATTATATAAGTGATGGTTATCTGAGTGATAAATGCATTATTTTTTTGGAAACCTGCTGTATTTTAAGTGAATTTGAAGACCTGTTGGTGGCCTTCTGCTGTTGTCTGTTCTGTGGTCGGGTTGTTGTCTCTTTGACACATTCCCCATTTCCATTCTCAATTTTATTAATAAAGACAAAATGATGAAGTTATAAGATAATTTATTGTATAAGAAAACCAGAAAAATAAGAATGATGATCTCCATGGAGTTTTTCATTTCCATTGTATCTGTGTTTTATGTACACTTGATCCCCCTTTTTTAGCTCAATAATCCAGTTATTAGTGCTGGAGCTAGCATAATGAACACTTGACCTGCTGGTGAACCCAAATGAGAACATGCTGTTGTTTTTGTACAAATAATAATGGAAATGGTTTGAAGAAGTTGCCATCAAAACGCATGATATCATGTAGACTCCATTTTTCGGTGCTGTAAATACTCCTGTCTTTGGATTATATGCTTGACCAATATTTGTGGTCACTTCATCAAATGTTAAAACATCATTTCCAGCAAAATCTGTGTTTCCTTTAAGGAAAGCAAAAAATACTGCTCCCTTCCTGTGTTCTGAAAATAGAAATAAAACTTGAAATATCTTACTTGTAATGTTTCTTGTTGTTACTTGGTGGCAGGTCTTTGATGGTTTCTGAATAATCATTCACAACTTGATTTAACGCAAGAAGTTTTAGAGCTTGACATATTGCATAGACATCTGTTGAAGAATACATGTTAATCTCTAAACAAAGATATTTTGAATCTGGAATAATTTTGAATTCAGGAAAATTGATAAAAATTTATGATGAAAACTAATACAATTAAGGAGGGTAAGCGTGGCTAAGGGGAGTTAGTTAATTCATACTGAAATATCATAAACAAGGAATTTTTTGAATCTGGAATAATTTTGATTTCTGAAAATTTATCAGAAATGTATGATGGAAACTAACC